CTGAGCAAGATGTATGTCTATGGTGAATTATGATTAGTAGTTGTTAGAGATATCCCCTAATCTCACAGAAGGCCCTGTGTGGTCTGATGTTCTCTGTCCCTTGAAAGAGGAAGTTTCCATGTGTGTGTATATGTGACTGTACATATGAGTGCATGCACCAACAAGGTATAACTCAGCTGATCTAAATGTTTTTCTTAAATTATGGTGATTTACACTATTTAATTTGAATAAGGCTTATGCTTTCTAAATGTTAGTTATTTATCCAAAAAACTGTTTTCAACATCTTGGTATTTTCTTGATTTTGTGGCCTCTGAGCTTTTATTAATCAGCAAAGACCATATTATTAGTGGGCCCATGATCAAAAGGATGCATTTAACTCCCAATAATTTCTGAATATTCATAGTTGACCACAGCCTGATTATATCCCACAGTTGCTTCCCTGAGCCCAGTTTGCTCACTGATGACCATATCCACCTGAATCCCTCCCTATAAATTGAAAAGATACTGGCGTCGGTACAGGACAGTGGAGTGGGGAGATGATGAGGAAAATTTTGAGTGTGGCACCAAGAGATTTTTGGACTGTTTGAGCAACTTCTTCTCAAACTTAGTACAAATAATTTTAAACTATTTTAAAGTTTTTTAATTTTCAGAATTTTAAGTGATTTATTTTTAATTAGTCACAGTTGAAATTACATGGCTTTTGATGAAATGTGGTTTAAAGAAAAGACCACTAGTCTAGGTGTGAGAAGACTGCTCTAGCACAAATTTTACTGCTTAGGAAGGTGAGTGACATTGAGGAAGGCTTTTCATTGCTCTGTGTCCTAGTTGGCATAACTAGAAATAATGGAAGGAGATGCCCTTCTCATCTTGCATGAGGACAAAAATGATACCATGTAAACATTCTTTAAAAACATCTAAGGGTGAATGTGATGTTTACAATGATGGTAATGATAACGAGTCTTTAATCGTCCTTTTTAAACACTGAAAATTAAAAACACAATGACTTCAAAATGAGTGGAAGAAATCTTTTAAATAATGTGTTAAGCAAGCCAAAGGTTGTAAGTAAAATTAGCAACCATTGAAAACCCATTGAGAACTTGTATTTACCAATTTTGCAAGGCTGAGAAGTTTTCCTTTAGGTTAAGAATTAGTTTTTTTCAACCAATCTGTGAATGCTTTGATAGTAACTAGGAGAATTGATGGCTATGAAATCCAAAACCCACATTTAAGGGATCACATGGGGAGAAGATGGAGTAGAGACAAAAGAGGGGCAGGTGTGTTGCAGATGTGAGAGCAGAAAGCATTCGCCTGTTCTCATCACAAGGATGCTGTGTAGAGAAAAATCTTGGTGAGGCCTGGAAAAAGTTCCTTACCTCAGGTTTTTGGGGATACGAGAAAGTCTTCCTTAATCAATTGAAAATACTGTCAGCCTTGCCACAGAGATTGCTGTCCCTACACAGGTGTTTCCTCTGTCTCATTCTAAAGGCCTCCAGAGCCCCTCAGACTTACCTTGTGAATTGACTTCATGACAGCTCCATTAACCATGGTGGCTGGTTACAGAGAGATGACAACTTTGTTGTTTGTGTGAAATGCCAGAAATTTCAAGAGCCTAGTTTTAAAATAGTAACAATGATAAAACACATGGAAAGAGAGAATGGACTTGTTTATAGTGCAGTGATAAAAACAGAATTCATGTTACATTGCAGTGAAGGGACATGAGCTGTGTAGACTATATAGAGGAATGTGAATGTTCATTGTTGTTTTTAATGGTGAAACTCTGGAAACTATCTAAATGCTCTGAGTCACTCATTGAATAAGTTATTATAGGCACATGCAGTATCACAGAATGCAAAACCTACACATACATAATTTTGTAGAAAGAGTATTTTCGTATGATCCTATAGACATTGTTTTTAAAATTATGGTAAAACACACATAAAATTTACCATTTTAAATATTTTACAATATATAATCAGTGGTATTAAGTACATTCACATTGCCAGCCATCACCACCATCTATGGTGGGTACTTTTCTTTCTTCATTTTTGCATGGTTTGACTCAAGAATGTGTTGCTTTTACAGTAAACATTGAATAAGATGACAGTCTAAGGCTTTGTTCCAGCTCTGTGACACTGGACAAGTTATTAGTCACATATATAATACTAAAGGGGGTGAAAGGTAAAATAAGACTTCAGAAACCAAATAATGTGCTGTATGTTGTTTTACGGATTAGAAACTATATTGCTAAATGTCAAATGTGGCTTAGATTTGAAAGTCTAAATAAATATTCTGAGAGGAGTATAAGGTATTAAGTAGAACAGACCTAAAATTTCTGAAAGCGGTACAGTTTATAAAAGTAATAAGACATAGCATTGGCTTGTAGTGGATGAACTTTGTCATTCTCACTAAGCGCATACTGGGCGTACTGGTGTTCTGTGAACTAGATTGACATGTGCTGTGGGAAAAAGCAATTGATAGTATTTTCTTAGTTCTCCAAAAAAATCAAGGATTTTCTCATTTTTTTTTCCATAAATATGTCTGATTTTGTTTACTACTTAATAAAGTAAAAAAAAAATGTAATGAAAAACTGGAAATAGTTGCTTATATTCAGCTTGTCACCATTTTCTTTTTTCACTTTTACTTTGGTTGCAGTTTACATTGTTTTAGAGAACATGTGCTTCTATTTGAGTTTAAATTTTATACACACACACACATATATATATATATATATATATATATATATATATATATATATATATTACAGTTTAGCTAATAAAGTATCTCCTGAATTCACGTGATAGAATGAAGCATGTCTAGTTGATGATGTTTGCCCATCTCCAACTCTGTAGCTCACGGGTTAAAGCACTTGTCATTATTATTGGACTTTCTCTACTGGGGTGTGGTAGATAGAAACAAAAAAAGTATTCCTTAGTTGTGTTTTTAAACCTAGAATGCCTTGTCACTTTAAAATATCACTTTATTTCTGGCTGATATTTATGTAATGTACTATACATCAGGTAAAAGGGGTATAGAATGAACTGAAAAACAAAGTGGCTCTTAAGGAGGTCTAACTTTAAAATGAATATTGCCATTTGAAAGGGTTAGAAATGAAAAAAATTATTTTCATGTATGAGTTGTAATTCTTTGATAGTTGTCTCAGTTTAAAATTATATTATAAATTATCTATATGAATTGTTTTATTGCTTCACCACTTAATTTTCCATAGTGCTTGATATAATGTATATAATACATATCAATATATTTCTTTTAATGGTTCTGATAATGTGGTATCACTGAAAATGACTTGAAAAATTTTGAATAGCTTCTAAATTAACCTAATTTGGGTTTCACACACACTTTTATAAATTAAATAGTAAAAAATGTTTTATTATTTATTACTTCTTTGTAATTCACTGAAGCTTAAACAGGGAAATAAAAGATACCAATTTCTGTAGTTACACTTGGAAAGAGACAAGAACTCTATAAGTTTCTTTGGATGGTGGTGGAAATATGAGTAAGTTGCTAGACTGTCCATTGAATTTGTCAATCATTTGAGTATCTACTTTGTGCAAAATACCCCATTCATTGTTGAAAAGGTTTTTTAAAGATGATGGATTTCCCTTTGATGAGAATATGGTCTATCAAACAGGGATCAAATGAGATTGTAAGTTGTTAAGATAGAAGATTAGGCTGTAAGTCTCAAGAGGTTGGAGTTGTGATGCTCTGAACCATTACTTGGTTGTGGTTACAGAAAACTGAACCGTGTGAGATGTTCCAGTCCTGGAATGCTGTGCATGCAAACTCGATCCACAGCACTCTCCTTCAGCTCCTGCCCCCAGCCCTTATAAATGTTCCCTCGGCCCGGCGCGGTGGCTCAAGCCTGTAATCCCAGCACTTTGGGAGGCCGAGGCGGGTGGATCACGAGGTCAAGAGATCGAGACCATCCTGGTCAACATGGTGAAACCCCATCTCTACTAAAAATACAAAAAATTAGCTGGGCATGGTGGTGCGTGCCTGTAATCCCAGCTACTCAGGCAGCTGAGGCAGGAGAATTGCCTGAACCCAGGAGGTGGAGGTTGCGGTGAGCCGAGATCGCGCCATTGCACTCCAGCCTGGGTAACAAGAGTGAAACTCTGTCTCATAAATAAATAAATAAATAAATAAATAAATAAATGTTCCCTCACATAAAAAGGGGATATAAAATAAACTCGTTTGAATTCTTGAGATTAGTTTTAAAAACTGTTTTTTAAATTTGAATTTTTAAGTAGGAAGCTCTGTTGGAGTCCCTTTCCCTGAACAGTTCAGTAGCTTGGTACAGCCATCACTAAAGGTGGATGTGCTTGAATAAATTAAAGGATTTATTTTGGAGTTTTATGGATGCTTCCTGTAGAATCAGTTTAAGTAGTGTATGTTTTCTTTTTTCTATCTAGTTTTCTTTCTTGTTGCAACTTCAAAATGTAACATTTCAGATGTTTTAAATCACCAAAATTTATTCCCATGGAAGATAAAAATATTATCTCTAAAATGTATGCACACTCACACATAAATTTATGGAGAGGGATTATTTATAAGAGTGTGGTATCAAATTCCACCTTAGCCCCTTATCTCAAAAGTAGTTTTCACCTCATAAGGTTATGAGGATTAAATGAGTTGATACAGGTAAAGTACCCAGAACAGTGCCTGGCACATAGGAAGCACCATGAAAATCTATGATCTTATTAAAAAATTAGTGTGCAGAATAATGTGAGTAGTATGATACCATTGGTTAAAAAGGAGGTTTGGATATATACCTAGAAACCAGTAGATAATATTTCTGGGAGAATCAACAAAACTGGAAATGGTTTCTTTGGGAAAGGGATCCTAGGGTGGGTAGAACAACAAATTTTTTTACCAACTTTTGAACTTTTTTTTAAAAACCATATATTAATTCTTAAAATAATGCCATGTTTCAAGTAATTTAAGATATTCTACATTAAGATGAGAATCTATATTCTTCTCAGATGGCCCTGCTGCAGCACCAGTGACTAACGGGAACACCACAGTGCCAGCCCTGAACGATGATCTGGACATCTTTGGACCGATGATTTCTAATCCCTTACCTGCAACTGTCATGCCCGCAGCTCAGGTAAGTCATAAGAATATGGTTTTATATGGTTGCTGCTTATTTCCTTTTTGAAAAGTTTCAAAATTTCAAGTTTGGAAGAATTGTTTCTGAGCAGTAACTGATATGAAAGTCTCCTGTTCTTTAGGCCAGGGTTTTGCAAACTAAGCTGCAGCTTGTTTTTGCAAATAAAGTTTTATTGGCACACAGACACTCCCACTGGTTGACATACCGTGGGTGGTTGCTTTCCTGCTACAAAAGCAAGGTTAAATGTTAACAGAGAATGTATTACCCACGAAACCTAAAATATTTACTATCTTTAACGTTTTAACCCTTGCTTTAGAGAAACAACAGTGTATAGAATGAACAAGTAGAAAAACCTTGACTACCTCAACTTTTCCTGAGATCAAGGTCACTTACCTCAGAGCTTTTAAAACTGTTGGTGTTTGTAAAGATTGACTGCAGAAGTTGTAGCAAATTCAGTACTCATTGTTTTAAAATAATGGCAGAATGAAGGTAAATTATGTTTTAAATTAGCCTTAAATTTTTTTTAAGTGATTTAAAAAATATCTAGAACAGTAATAATAAAGATCAGGATATTCTAAAAGTATTAATGGTGAAGAAATTTTGAATTGTCTTCTTAACAGTACATGGAATTTCTGTAATGTGAAATATATGAACTTTCAGGAAACAGATTACTCTTAAGCATACAACCTTATGATTCTAAGTTTATACTTTACAAATAACCAGTTTGTACAGCATAATTTTTTAGATACAATATTTCCTTTTTTATTAAAAAAAAAAACTGAGTCAAATCTGAATTGTTCTGATGTAGAGTTTTAATAAGAAAAAGTCAGTGTCTTCTAAGACTAGTAACGTATTTGTGTTGCACATATTTATTGTTATTATGAGTCATTAGTTATCATTAGAATGGAATAAGTAGATTTAAGAATAATTTATTTAAGTGGATCTTCATCGAAATTGTCTGCAGCAGTAGTATTTATTTTCAGCAAAATAGCTTATTTTATGGCTTTGCCCCTTCTTCCCCTCCTGTAACATACATAAAAAAGAGAGACAGTATTATTACTGTTGTTTCAACAGTAATTAACATTAATTACCTTACAAATTTGTACAGGTGTAGGTGTACATGTGATAATAATTGTCTAATATTGTGCCTTTGGAAAGAAGTATCTAGAATATTTGACAATCAGAATGTGAAAAGCAATTTACTTTTAGTCTGGCATTGTAGTGCGGCTGTTACACCCACTAGACTTATTTAGCATGGTCACTGGGGTCTGAGAGTTGCTTTGCAGCTGCTAGAGAGTTAGACCCCCACCTCTGAGGTTGCAGCGTACGTCATGTGTTCTGTTCGGTATTAAAGTAGCAAGTAGAACAATGCAGACCTCATATAATTCTTAAGCACAGGTAGTGACATGACGAGGAGTGTAGCCTCTGGCTTTAGGAGGGCTGGGGGCTGGCCTTCAGATTTCGAGCATTCTGAGCAGTACCTGGTATGACATAGAGTTAATTTTTAAAATCATATCTAATACTTCTTTTGGAACATTTTTATATTGAGCACTGGTTAGATTGTGCCAGTTATGTTGAGCTCTTTATTTGGTGAACAGTAGCATCTTTCATCTAAACTTCATGTAGAGATTAAAATCCAGACATATTTTCAAAATAATGCCTTTGAAAATGGGGGATGGTGCTGAAAGTACAGATTTCATGCATATATTGCAACTATGTAATTTACTTATTTTGGTGGGTTTTTAATACGTGAAATTGAGCTCAAACTAGTTTTGGACACCAAGATTTTAAATTCTTCTGAACCATGTACTCTTTCACTCCTTGTGTTAATTTCTGAGTATATACAGATTCTGAAAATTTGTATTCTAGTGAAAGATTTTCTAACTTATGAATATGAAATAGATTGATTTTACCATCTGCCTTACCTATGCGGGGTCTAGTCTTTCCTAAAGAGAGTTAGAAGTATGATGTGTCTTGGGGCCTAGGGAGAAGCAGTTCCAGAGTCCTCAATGATTGACATGGAGAAACCCCTTCCCTGTTCTTTCATATAGATAGATATACATACACCAACAGTAAGTACCTAGACATACACAAGGGCTGAGTCTTGTTTTTTCTTGGTTAAGCCCTGGGGGCCCAGAAGGCCAGAAAGCCTTGGGTTAGAGGCTCTGCAGCTTCCTGAAGTGTAGAATGACAGGCAGAAGTTGTTCTCCTTTTATCCTGGGGTTGTAGTGCTGGTGAGTGGAGCACCAAAAAGTAAGTGGACATTTGAGTGTTTACTAGCCCTGCTGATAGGTTTGGTTGTTTTTAGATTGTCTCCTTGTTGAGGTAGATGCTTCATATTACAATGTTTACAGCATGTGAGTATCAGTCTGCTCTACTATGAGACTAGAATCATAGCTTCCCAACCTTTTGGGTTTTCTTCTAGTTCTCTGTCATCCACAGGGAATAGACCCCAGGGTGTTGAGCAGATTTTCAGATTGAACAGATACCAAGTGTGATAAAAAGATCACTGAGTGTTGTAGTTGTTTTTTAAACAATATTAACAATAAACACCAAGTATTTAATCCAACCATTGTTCAAAACACTTCCTGTGATCATCAAGCTTATCCCCAGTTTACAGGAAAGAGACTGAAAGGAGAAGTTAAGTGACATGTCTGAGTTGACCATAGGAAGTCCTGGGGGCAGGCTTGAGTCCTGGCAGACAGGCTCTAGCCCATGCTTTTAGCTCCATGATCTGCTGCTGCTTCATTGGTAGCTTAGATATATTTTATTCAAGGATACTGTTATATTTAATATTCCATCATATCTAATTTCTTACATATTTGAATTTTTACAAAAATTAAGTGGCTTTTTGTCTATTATAATTCTTGCTTAGTCATAAGATTCAAAATATTGTTCCGTGTAGTTTGCAGGTACAATGTTTGGATAGTAACTTATTGCATGGTGTTCTAGGAGGACATTAAATATTTGAATTTAGCTTGTATTTGTTACTCACTTTATTCTCTAGTGTGAGAACAATCAGCCAGCTTTTACTAGTCTTCATAGAATTCTTTGAAACTCTTTTCATGTTCAAAACAAGTCCATATAACAAATGTGAATGTGATTTAATGACTACAGAAATGATTAAGGTTAGCAGTTGTGATTGTATAATACTGTATGCAAGATATGAGGTTAAGTGAAAATGTTTGTTGTATATTAAATATCTACATGTTTATTTGTATTTGTGTTCATTTGCCCCCTTGTCCAAAAGTGAAGTACAGCATATGCTGAGATGGTCAGAGTTTTGCTGTAGCTTCATTTCTGGATAGATTAGAAGCAGTCTAATGTTGTGGTTAAAACTGATCTAGATTAGATGTACAAAAACCTTATGATGCAAGTTTTAAAAAGATAATTTTAAGGAACCACTGCAAATCCTCTTATAGTCTGTTGTCGTAGAAATGTTTTTTTTTCCAAAGGATACCAGTTTCTTGAAGCAGTAGTTGCTATGGAGTGGTGGTCCTCAGACCGCTGCCTCGTCTTTAACTATTGTTGAACCCATTGTATTCAGGATTTATGAGCAAAAACTTGGCATCACCTTAGGTAGTAAATGCAACTTACTGTGAAAATGCTTCAGTCTACCTCTTTTACATTAACGATTTAAGAAGTACTGCCTTTAGATATTTTTGTATGGGCTTGTGAGTGATCCTCTTGAAAGGCACCATTTTACCTTCTACAATTGTTTGATTTCTGTCTAATTCTTTAACTTTATTTGGATTTTAAGTAATGGATAAGCTGTGCTTTACTATGCAGAATTTGATAGCTTATTTTGGTGTTTGTCTCAGGGGACAGCCTCTGCATCAGCAGCTGCAAGCCTGTCTACAGTAACATCTGGGGATCTGGATCTATTCACTGAGCAGACTACAAAATCAGAAGAAGTGGCAAAGAAACAACTTTCCAAAGACTCCATCTTATCTTTGTATGGCACAGGAACCATTCAACAGCAAAGTACTCCTGGTAATGAATTTTGATATCTGCTTTCAGTGACATTACTAGAAGCACATTCTTTGTAATTATAAGTTTATATATCTTCTTTATTGTTCCATGTAGTAAGTGCTTTTGTTGTTGTAGTTTGTACAATTATGAAGCTGAAATGAATGAGCATTAGAATTAAAAATTCAGAGGCATTTACAGGATTCACAGAACTTTTATTTGGAATTAACAAGCTGTTCATAGATCACTATTGTTTCACAAGCTTACAGAACACAGATTATCTTTGATGAATTATTGAAACTTGATTTGCATGAAGTTTGACTTTGTGTACAGTATATTTTCTGTGAAGATAAGCAGTCTTCAGTTACCACACAGATTCCAAAAGATCTATGAATTTTTTTGTAATTGTAACAAAATATTAGCATAAGGCTTATTGTTTACAGATATTACTCTTTCAGACTATTTCCTTTAAAATAATGAGCTGCATTTCACATATAAGCTAAAACTGTGTGGCACCCACTGCATCCACTGAAGCCAGATATAATCAGCTCTCACTTGCCTGTGTTTGGTATTGGGAGACCAGTGGTACAAGTCAGCAAAAAAAACTGTATGATGTCATGCTACAGAGTTTGGTCTTCACAATGGAAGGTATTTTGTGTGGCTGTTGCATAGGATTTACATTTCTTAATTAAATTTACTTAGGTTAATAACTGATTTGTCTGCATTCTACAAATAAACAGCTCTGAGGGTATAGGCGTGGGTTGGTCTGAGTAGTAGGAGCAGCCAAACTGGAATGAAAATGTTTGCTGTGAGTAGTTCAGAAAGACAGTTTCCTGTGATTATAGAGGTGAGTGCAACTACTCGTGATAGCTCTGCCTTCATTCATTTTCTTTTTGTGGTACAGGTGTGTTTATGGGACCCACAAATATACCATTTACCTCACAAGCACCAGCTGCATTTCAGGGTTTTCCATCGATGGGTGTACCTGTGGCTGCAGCTCCTGGCCTTATAGGAAACGTGATGGGGCAGAGTCCAAGCATGATGGTGGGCATGCCCATGCCCAACGGGTTTATGGGAAATGCACAAACTGGTGTGATGCCACTTCCTCAAAACGTTGTTGGCCCCCAAGGAGGAATGGTGGGACAAATGGGTGCACCTCAGAGTAAGTTTGGCCTGCCGCAAGCTCAGCAACCCCAGTGGAGTCTCTCACAGGTAGGGGTCATTTAATTTCTAGCTTCTCTCAAATCAAAGAAACCAGATTTATTTTCTAAATCTTTTTTTTTTTTTTAAGCTTTGAGATTTGGCAGAAAGAATTTAATAGGGATAATATGTATAAGGTCAAAAGTATCTATAAATATTATGAAGTTGTATCAGATAGACAAATGCTGTTGTTATTCCTATTTTAGAGTATTCTGTAAAGAAAGGTTAAATGTCTTTCACTTCAAATTGGAATGTAACCCTAATGGTGAACACCCCTAATCTGTTTGCTAATGGCCAGAAATTATGTTAGGCATCATGAAAGACTCCCTTTCTGCCACCTCTGAGGTTAGCACTAAGCTTTAGTCAGCTTACTGGTGGGGCATTTTTTACAGTTCACTTAGACAACTTATATTCATTAACAATTTTGGGGTCTGTTATTAGAAAAAAAAATCTAGTCTCATTCTCAAAGCAGTATTTTATGAGGGATCTGAGGCTGTTTTTCAGGTCATATGGTTACTGCCCCATGGCTCTGTAAAAATTATTTTTGTTCAAAAACCTTCGTAAAGTTGTATTTTCTTTTTACATACCCTATGATGACTGTTATGGTTAAAAAGAGTACAAAAAGATTGTTTCCATAAGGTGTGAACAAAATATCCCCTCATATTATAAAATCCTATTTCTACCTAAGTTAGCACTAAGATACAACTTCTATTTCGGGTGCTCTGTTCTGACTTTTCTGTAGCTGCACAGTAAAGGCTCTTAGATAGGTTCATGCTCCCACTCCTCTTCCTTTTATACTTCCCACTGATGTTCCTCCAGCATTTTGGCAATCTTGGTTTCTGTGTGGTCACTTGCTTTACCTTTAGAGCATTCAGAGAATAGTCTAGAGTGATTTCTAACATTAGCACAATCACTACCTATCCCAATTAATTTTGCTACCACCATTTACCGGAATATAGGTAAGAGATTGGTCTTGACCCATTGGGAATCTAAAAAATTGTATGTGCTAAATGTCAGTCATATGGTCAACATGCTAAAGCACACCTAGCCCAGGAGGTTAAGGTGTTAGATGAACCAGGAAGGAGTTAACATTGGCTCTTACTTCCAAATAATGCAGAAGGGTGATGCTGTTCTTCAGCACTCCACATCAGTGGAATCTACTGGCCAACGGCAAGGTGGTTAAGATGTCCTTTAGTAGGTATGAAGATGTGATCTGCTCCTTCAGACAGTTATGCCTGATTAGTGATGTAGTTCATGTTAGTGTCTTTGAAACTGTAAATAAGTCAACTGTATTAAATTAGGAACACAGTCTAACTCTGAGTGTAAGTTTTAAATCCAATCTGTATGCTAAATCTTGCTTTTCCTTCTCTTATCACCACTTTTGGAAGTAAGAGAAGCACAGGGTTAAGAAGCATATATATATATATATATATATATATATATATATATATATATATGTATATACACACACACACACATATATATACACATATATATATTTGACTCTAGTCTTAAAGAAAAATACATATAATCTTATACTTTACTGCATATAATGAAAATAAATTTTAGATGTTTATGTTGGTAGATCAGCAAGAGAAATAAATGCTTTATGACCACTTTTTAAATATTTAGGAAGTATTTAGAGCCATTTAAGATTTTAACAGAATAACAGCTATCATACAAAGTTTATAGGATAACTTTAGACTATTTTACTTTCTAAAATTTTCTTACTCATTAGTAGTAAAGCACAATATCGTAGTGTAGTTGAAAGTTAGAGTAACTGACTCATTATATACCCAGATACAAATTCCAAGATTGCTTTGGTATTTAAGTTGCGGTTAATCTTTGGGGAATTGAATCTAGAAAGTAGATAAATAAAGAACAAGAAGGGAACAAAGTAGCTATTGACTTTAAAAAAATGTTTGTATGTTACTTTGCTTTTATTCCAGTGCTTGGACTAGTTTTCACATTAATAAAAAAATGACCAATTGTGTGGCTAAAAAAACAAGAATTAAAAATGAAGCCAGCCTCTCGAACTAAGCCTTTTGTGTGTTTCACAGATGAATCAACAAATGGCTGGCATGAGTATCAGTAGTGCAACCCCTACTGCGGGTTTTGGCCAGCCCCCCAGCACAACAGCAGGATGGTCTGGAAGCTCATCGGGTCAGACTCTCAGCACACAACTATGGAAATGAAAACTGCAATACAAGTTTCATCCAGAACTACCACCTGACATTCCTTGCTAAAATGCATCTAGTTCCCGTTTATTCATATACATATTTTTTTTCCTTTTTACCTATTCATATTAAGAATGATCTGATTGACCGTGTTGGTCTGTACTGATTAAATTTGATGTGGTGAAAAGCAGGTTGATAAACCATTTTATGTCAAGGGCAGCTTTGTTCATATTTCCCATGATTTCATATACTGCATTACTTGAGAAGCTGCTCGTCAACTTGCAAAATCAGTTTTCCTCTCAATAAAATTATAGCTCTAATGTTTGCCTATAAGGGAAGTAGTTATCATGTTAGTAATGCCTCTAACAGTATAAACCCCATCCCCAAATTAGCCAGTAATCCTGTAGGAAGGTACTGTATGATCAAATGTTTAATCATATAAATAGAATGTAAATGTCTCACTGAGCACTGTTTTCTAGTGTATCAAAAATTCTTTTATTTCATCATTCACTTCACTGTGCTGTTGTTATGATGTGCTTAACAGGGAACGTGGTTAGTGAAAGGAAGATAAACCTGGATGTTACTCCAAAACTTAGTTTAATGAATGTTTAAAGAATTCAAATTTTATCTGCCTTTTGTGTAATTTGGATCTCTTCTTAATGTACATAGTGCTAACATGAAGACCTTTTTCTGCACTATATGCAAACAGGGTAACTAAAACAAAGCCACTTTGAATCCTTGAAGGTATATCCAGGTTTATGACAGTAATTGTGTTTACATTTTATGGTGCCTAGTATTGATAAAATGTTATTTCCCTATATTAAACAGATGAATCCATAGACCTTTTCTCATTTGTGGGTTTTTTATTTCCTATGATGTATACTGCCACTAACCTTCCAAAGATTAATGTTGCAAAGTCAGGAATCAGGAATGTGTACCTGATAAAATACTTGTCTGTTTTTAAAACCTGTTTAGGTCTACTAATTATAAGGGAAAATTGGAGAAAAATAAAAAAATATATAAGATACTCAGAGTGGTATCTTGCAGTATCAGTACTGTACAAAAATCTTCCGATTTAGTTGTAGAGAAAACATGCAGAACAAATGAAGATAAAACATACATTTTGTACCATCCGATTAGCTTATGTTAACTGACAAGCTCCATGTAAACAAATGTCCATCAGATGACAAGAAAAGCTGTTGTACTGAAGTAAAACAGACAATACCTGAATGCTCTGCAGCCTCAACCCCAAACATCCTCTTCCATATGGATCCACTGGCTGGGCAAAACTGTACCAGTTGCTGCTTCAATTTATACTTCAATTTTCACTGTGTCCAGGTGGTACTTTGGCTCATTGGCTAGATTAACCTTCTCTGTCCGAGTGTGCCACACAAGAACCTGAAGGGGAAGGAAACAGCTTGGGTAGCACATTCTTGATGCTGAAGCTTGAGGTCAGGGAGCACAAGGGAAATGAATACCTTAGTGCAGTTATTTGCTTTCGGTTCCAATTCTTCCACCGTTGTTATCTGTTTGAGAAAATCAGATTCTTGCATCCCTGGCTGGGATCCACGACGCTTAAATACAGCTTTTGGATTGGACAAGATGACCTGAAGACTTACAGCAAATCCTTTGTGAAAAGTAAAACAAAAAACAAACAAACAAAAAAAAAACAAAAAAAAACTTTAAAATACCGGTGTACTTCCCTTTTTTCCATATAATTTTGGTGACACCAAAAACAATTTTTAAAATACCTACTGTGTGTCAGGTCTTGGTTTACAAAGTTGAACAGGAACATTACCTGTATTACAGTCTCAAAGGAAAATCGATCATTACAATATTGTACATTCCACATCGGGGTGTGCACGGGAGCATCTATGCAAAATATAAAGGTTGGTCTCTTTAAGGGTGGATAATGTTTTTGGCAGAGGGATACAAGATGGCCAAGTAGGAGCAGCTCTGGATTGCAGCTCGCAGCGAGAGTGCAGAGGGTGGGTGGTCACCTTCCAGACAGATTTTTATTGCCCACAGACCAGGAGATTCCCAGGAAGAGGAGCGCCACAGGTTTCCAGCGTGGCTGTTTTGGCCGGTGTGGCAGGTCTCTGCACAAAAAGTCACATGGGTCCAGGCACTGTTTCAGCTGGCAACTGGAGTGCCTGGGAGACAGAGTCACCCAATCGACTGATAAAAAGTGGATTGAAACAGGGAGGCAGGCCAGGAGATTCCCAGGCAGAAAAGCACAAGTCTCTAGCGCTGCTGTTTGAGCTGGTGCAGTGGGTGTCTGCACAAAAATTCACACAAATTCGGGCACCTTTTCAACTGGTAACTGGTATCCCTGGGAGACAGAGTCACTCCTTCAACTGATAAAAAGGGGACTGAGGCAGGGAGCCAGGTGATCAGGTTTAGCCTGTCCCACCTCCACAAAGACGAGCAATCTGAAACACTGGGTTGAGAGTTTCATAACAAGCACAGCTGAACCCAGGATGGTCCAGCTTTGTGGGGGAGGGGCATCCGCCATTAACCAGGCAGTCCACCACTACTGAGGTAGCCTGCCATTGCTGAGGTGGTCTGCTATTACCAAGGCAGCCCACCATTGCCAAGGCAGTCTGCCATTACAGAGGCGAGCCGCCATTGCCAAGGCAGTTCTAACTATACCCCTATAAACAGGACTGCAGGGAAGTTGACATGGCGGCTGGGCGGAGCCCACAGCAGCGCAACAACACCTCTGCTGGCAGACGGTGACTAGGCTGCCTCCTCACTGGGCAGTGCATCCCTGAGAAGCAGCAGCACAACAGAAACATAAATAAAGCCCTACCTTCCTGGGACAGAGCACCTGGGAAAAAAAAAAAAAAAAAGGCAGTTATGAGTTCTGCTGTAGCAGACGTAAATGTACCTGCCCAACAGCTCTGAATGGAACAACAGAGCTCACAGCTCAGCACCTGAGCTCCTATAAAGGACGGACTGTCTCCTCAAGCAGCTTCCTGACCCCCATATATCCAAAGAGTCACCTAATAAAGGAGAGCTCAGACTGATCTGGCGGGTATCCTTCTGGGATAAAGATAGCAGAAGAGGAAACTGGCAGCAACCCTTACTGTTCTGTAGCTGCTGCAGGTGATCCCCAGGCAAGCAGGGCCTGAAGTGGACCTCAGCAGTTATGGCAGAGGGGCCTGACTGTTAGAAGGAAAACTAGAAAGAAAGAAATAACTTCATCATCAAACAGGATGTCCACTCAAAGCCCCATTGAAAAGTCACCAACTATAAAGACCACAGGTAAATTCACAAAGATGGGAAGAAATCAATGCAAAAAGGATGAAAACAACCAAAACCAGAACGCCTTTCCTCCTCCAAGGCATCACAACTCCTCACCAGCAAGGAAACAAGCCTGGATGGAGAATGAGTCTGATGAATTGACAGAAACAGGCTTCAGAAGACGGGTAATAAGAAACTTCTCTGAGCTAAAAGAACATGTTCTAACCCAATGCAAAGAAACTAAGAACCTTGAAAAAGGTTTGATAAAATGCTCACAAGAATAAATAGCCTAGAGAGGAATATAAATAAATTGATGGAACTGAAAAAAACAACACGAGAACTTCACAAAGCACACACAAGATTCAATAGCTGACTTGACCAAGCAGAAGAAAGGATATCAGAGATTGAAGATCAACTCAGTGAAATAAAACGAGAAGGTAACATTAGAGAAAAAAGAGTAAAAAGAAAAAAACAAAGCCTCCAAGAAATATGGGATTATGTGCAAAGACCTAATCTACGTTTGATAGGTGTACCTGAATGTGACGGAGAGAATGAATCCAAGCTGGAAAAGACTCTTCAGGATATTATCCAGGAACACTTCCCCAACCTAGCAAGGCAGGCCAATATTCAAGTCCAAGAAATACAGAGAACACCGCAAAGATATTCCTCAAGAAGAGCAACCCCAAGGCACATAATCATCAGATTCACCAGGGTTGAAATGAAGGAGAAAATGCTAAGGGCAGCCAGAGAGAAAGGTCAAGTTACCCACAAAGGGAAGCCCATCAGACTCAGAGCAAAACTCTCAGCATAAACCCTACAAGCCAGAATGGAGTGGGGACCAATATTCACCATCCTTAAATGAAAGAACTTTCAACCTAGAATTTCATATCCAGCCAAAATAAGTTTCATAAGCAAAGGAGAAACAAAATCCTTTATGAACAAGCAATTACTGAGAGGTTTCATCACCACCAGGCCTGCTTTACAGGAGCTCCTGAAAGAAGCATTAAACATAGAAAGGAATAACCTGTACCAGCAACTCCAAAAACATACCAAATGGTAAAGAACATCAAACACAATGAAGAAACTGCATCAATTAACTGGCAAAACAACCAGTTAGCATCAAAATGGCGGGATCAAATTCACACATAACAATATTAACCCTAAATGTAAATGGGCTAAATGCCCCAATCAAAAGACACTGACTGGCAAATTGTATAAAATGTCAAAACCCATTGGTGTGCTGTATTCAGGAAACCCATCTCACATGCAAGGATACACAAAGGCTCAAAGGGATGGAGGAAGATTTACCAAGCAAACAGAGAGCAAAAAAAAGGAGAAGTTGCAATTCTAGTCTGATAAAATGTACTTTAAACCAACAAAGATCAAAAGAGACATTACATAAAAATCAAAAGGACATTACAAAGGATCAATGCAACAAGAAGAGCTAACGATCCTAAATATTTACACACCCAATACAGGAGCACCCAGATACATAAACCAAGTTCTTAACGACCTACAAAGACACTTAGACTCCCACAAAATAATAGTGGGAGACTTTAACACCCCACTATCAATATTAGATCAACGAGACAGAAAATTAACAAAGATATCCAGGACTTGAACTCAGACCTGGACCAATCAAACCTAATAGACATTGATAGAACTTTCCACCCCAAATCCATAGTATATACATTCTTCTCAGCATATCACACCTACTCTAAAATTCACCACATAATCCGAAGTAAATCATTCCTCAGCAAATGCAAAAAATGGAAATCATAACAGTCTTATAGATCACAGTGCAATCAAGTTAGAACTCGGAAATCGGAAACTGACTCAACCACACAGCTTCATGGAAACTGAAGAACTGGCTCTTGAATGTTAACTGGATAAACAATGAAATGAAGGCAGATATAAAGATGTTCTCTGAAACCAATGAGAACAAAGGCAAAACAACCATCATTCTCAGCAAACTGACACAAGAACAGAAAATCAAACACCACATGTTCTCATAGGCGGGTGTTGAACAATGAGAACACATGGACACAGGAAGGGGAGCATCACACACTGAGGTCTGTTGGGGTGAACTAGGGGAGGGACAGTGGGCGGTGGGGAGCTGGGGAGGGATAACATGGGGAGAAATGCCAGATATAGGTGAAGGGGATGGAGTAAGCAAACCACATTGCCATGTATGTACCTATGCGACAATCCTGCATGTTCTTCACATGTACCCCAAAACCCAAAATGCAATTTTATATATATATATATATATATATATATATATACACACACACACACACACATACACACACACACACACACACACACACACACACACACACACACACATATATATATATATATATATATATATATATATATATATAGCTTTTTTTAAAAAAAAAAAACAATTTTATAAGCTGCTGTTTCACATTGGTCATCGACACCCCCATATTTCCCACTCTAGGAATAACTAAGAACTAAATGCAACTGAAAAACATACATACTTGCCTTAACTACACTTGGGGTGTTAGACCACATGCTCAGCTCTCCTGCCTACCCTGTAATATTAGTTATGTATGCTTCCTTAAATTC